TGTGTGTGTGTGTGTGTGTGTGTGTGTGTGTGTGTGTGACTGCTCAAATAAATTCATTATGTCCCACCTGAACTGGCTTTAGAGAGAAACCCTTCTAGAAACCCTCAGATCCAGTGACCATGACTACATTTATTAATTAATTAATTAATTTATTTATTTATTTATTTTTGATGGATTGTGATATTTTACCTCAAAATTCTCATTTTAATTCAATATATAATAAATATATAAGCTACTACTAAATATTGTAGAAACTTAATTTTCTGTAAAGTTGCTTTGCAACGATTTGTATCGTAAAAAGCGCTATACACATAAACTTGAATTGAATTGAATTAAATATATCTATATTTATCTATGTATATGTATCTATAAATCAGCATAAGTAAAGGGAAATTATGTGTGAGTGTATACATGTAAAGAATTTATTAATAATAATAATAATAATAATAATAATAATTTATGTATGTATCTCAAATTAAATAAAGTAGAATAATTTAAGGTGATTTAAAAAAATTCTGTTTATTTAAGGACTAAATTAATGTTAATTAAATTGATTTATTGTGTCTATAAATATGTGTGTTATTCAAATGAATTATTTATTTAGTCTATTCTGATTTTTTAAATTATTAAATTAATAGTTTTATAATTCAATTGTTTTAATTAAATGTGTTTAATTGTCATGCAAAATAAATACATTTTAGTGGTTCTTAAAATAAGCTTGATTTATTTGAGCAGATATTATTTCATGTTTATTTTGTTTTGGGGTGAAGTGTGACCAGGACACGCTTTCATGACACGAGTTTGGGACGATCAGGAAACTCTGCTGTTGAATGTCATTAAAGAGCTAATCGTTAGTCGACCAGAAGAGGCTTGGTCGGCCAAAATTTTATTAGACGCTTAGTCGCATAAAAAAAAAAAAAATCCACAGGCGAAGTCACGCAGTTCGTGACGGACAGATCGTTAACGGCTAACGTTAGTCTATGGTAATACAATACATCGGGCAGGACATCCAAACGCTTGCCTAAATCTGTAAAGACTCAACGTTTATGTGTGTGCACTCACAATAACAACAAAACGCGCTTTTGTAAAATAATGAAAGCTAACATGATGCTCTTTCTGCCGTCTCGGTCTCTATGAACTTGAGCGCGAAACACCGTGTATATCTTTGCCTTACAGACATTAAAATATATATAGAGAGAGTGAAATGTCTACTTTCAAATGAACCAATTCAAATGGAAAACAAATATTCTCAGATTATGTAATCCGTATGAAACGAGGTGCATCACTACGGCGGAGATGACGAGTAAGTGTCGCCAAGTTCATCTCTTAAACCGAGCACTAATTTATCAAATTATTAAAATGTTAATGCAGTCTCCTTACTGTTTTTCCCTGACACATTCATAATCATTACTTCTGCCGGTGCGCTGTGGCAAGCTTTATGGGTGTGCTTGAGCGCTTATGGCTATGTAGGCAATTAAAGGCTCATTATAATGATTTAAATGGTTTATTAATAAACGTGCGATTAGTCGACTAATGCTTCAAATGAACGACTACTAGTCGACCAGAAAAATCCTTAGTCGAGGGCAGCCCTAGTCTCAACAAAGAGTGCGTCTTTCATGTGCCGGCGTCACGAGGGCCACTTTGAAGTGAAGTTTGCGGAGCGTGTTTTGATTGAGCTCTCATTGTGAGTGGGAGAGAATTTGTGGAAGCGCAGAGAGAGGTTTTCGGGAGTTTCGTGGTGGGCGATTCAATGAAGCGTTTAGGAAGAAAGAGCCTGAGACAATGTAAAGACAGAAGCCGCATGTGCGACGTTAATTACTGCTATTATAAAGTGTACAGTGTTGCATTGTTTCTCCATCATTAGGATTAGACCTGTGTGAATGTAAACATCACATTTATGTCACACATGACCTTCATTACTGCGGGATTGTGGGAAATATGTACATGAAGACAATGAAAGGCAGCTCTTCTGATTTAATTTGGACACTCAGTCTTTCATTTCAGTGCAGATCTGACCAGGATTTATGAATAAATAGATGACTGAAATGAGTTTGTGAATGTGATTTCTGCCCTTCTCTCTGTAGATCTGGAAGACAGAGCGAGTTCGTCTTGGGGGAATGGAGTTCGTGCCACAAAGGTGAGTTTTTACACTTTTAGAAATGCTTTTGTTTTCGGTGTTCAGGTTCAAACCTAGTGAGCTGTCTTGCTGTAGGCTCCCTACATAGGCAGCTGACTTCTAAGGCAACATCCTAATTTCAAATGAACTGATCAGACTTTGACTAATTTGACTAAATTGACGTCAATAGAGGTTGACGTTAATGTGTTTCTGCACTAATGACGCATTAACTCTAGTATTAAAATAACTGCATATATTATATTTATTATATTATATTATATCATTTATGTATGGTTATTTTATTTTATTTTTAGTTTATATATTCATTTTTTATTTAGAGTTATTATATATTTATCACTTGTATTACTAATTTATATGTCACATTAGATAAAAGCTAAATGAATAAATGTATATTTATTGTTTACTGGGTTTATAATATATTAAATATAATATTTATTATTTATGTACGATTATTTATTTTATCATTTATATATTATTTATATTTATATTTATTATGTTTATTATATATTTATCACTTGTTACATTCCTCATTTATATGTCGCTTTGGATAAAAGTTAAATGAATACATTAAATTTATTGTGTCATTTTAATTTATGATAATTATCTTATCGAAGTGTGTATATGTATATTCTGATTGTTTTTTTATATTTTTCTCGAGTTTCACTTTATTTGTTGTAAACATACGTCATCCTCCCGGAGCTGCTTCCGTTTACAACAGTGAGCGCAAGCTACATTAAAGTGATTATTATGTTATAAATATGGTTATTTTTCTTACAAAAACGCATCGATTCGCAACAGGAGGCCTTTGTTCACCCCCCGGAGCCGTGTGAGACA